AAATCCGATCACGCTCCTAAGTCCAAAATCACCATACGGAGCTATTGGAATCATCAAAATTCTATTCCGGGGTCATTTGCACATAATTCGACATCTGGTTACTATTTGAACTTAAACTTTAAATTTTTTATCAAAATTCCATATCTCGGGCTAGGGACTTCGGAATTTGATTCCGGGCATACGCCCAAGTCCCAATTCACGATACGGACCTACCGGAACTGTCAAAACACTAATCCGAGTCCGTTTACTCAAAATGTTGACCAAAGTCAACTCAGTTGTGTTTTAAACATCTAATTCACATTTTAATCCATTTTTCGCCTGAAAACTTTCCGGAAAATTTTTACGGACTGCACACGCAAGTCGAGTAATGGTAAATAGTGCTTAGATCACATAATTAATCATTAAATTTAAAGATGATATTTTGGCTCATCACACCTGCATTTCTATAAGAGGTTGTTTCCACGACTCGAACTCGTGACCTCCTGGTCACATGGCAACAACTTTACCAGTCGAGTCGCGCCAAGGCTCCTCTTCTAAATTTTACCAAGAATAAATTTTACCAAACTCCACCTTAACCTGATATTTATCAACCGTGTCCAGTCTTCTGGCATTGCTCAAATACATACACTAAACTAATTTGCTGATCCAACTAACCTGAGGGGGATTTCCTCTTGATAGTTGCTAAGAGTGATGTGCTGATTATTTCCAACTTTCAGATATGCTTTGGAAAAGTTAGGACGGTAAAGAGAGGATCAGTAAATGAAGATCAGATTTTAGATGTATAGATTGCAGAAGGGAACATCTGCCGCAGTTTTACAATACATACACAGTGATTTTATCTTTCTATTACTGAAACAGTATGCATTTTACTCGGTTCACAACTTAATACTGATGTTGGAGGTGATAATTAACTAGACTAGGTTCTTCATTGATCAGTGCAGTCTAAAATAAATACCGTGGCATAAGAAAATTAGAGTAGTAGCACCAGAAAGCTCATGGAGATACCATGTAGAAACGAAATTGCAGCTGCATAAATCCAGTGGATGGAGCTAGGATTGACTTCTTGAATTAACATAAACACCATTAACAACATCTGTCGCATGTTCACCTTTGTAAAAGTTGAAAGATAGATGGAACGGGGCTGGAGCTTCGTTCAGCTAAATATACCTCAGTTAAGAATTAATGAACTATATATATTCTACAACTTGGCTTTGAAATGAAGAGATAGTTTATCAATAAAACTACCAAATTACAAATACAAATTCATGTCAGACACCAAGCCCGTGGATCTTTAACCTTCAAATTTCAGTCACAAACTAGACCTCAAATACTGCTATGAGCTATCACTATTATTGTGGTTGTTGGCGGTGGTGGTATGATTGTTGCTACGGTGGTTGCTGTTCCCAACCCTCCTATGTTGCTTCAGCTGCGAAAGCTCCAATTGTGTATTCATAAAAAACTGCATTCTCTGCAACTCCAGTTCTTTAGCAAACTTCATCCTTTGTTTCTCCATCTCCACCATTTGTTGTATCTTTGCGCTCTCTGCTTGTTCATAAGCTTCCCCAAATTTCAGAATCGCCCGTGTCAACTCCCTCACTGAATTCCCCCAGTTTTTGCCCTTTCCACTAGCTTCTCCACTTCCTCCACGTGTCCCCTGCCTCATTGCACTTGAGTTCATCAATTCCCTCTGAATCCTTGGCCTCTTTCTCTGAAAAGTTCCCGGCGGGAAACTGTCAGTTGAATCAGGCGAAAGCTCCGGTTCCGACTCCGATTCCGACGTGTCTGAATCAACGTGAGGCCTTTTTCGAAAGGGTTGCTTCTGCTTCTGTTGTGATTGCGGCTGTTGATGTGGTCTAAGATGAGGAAGGGACCTAACTCCCATAGGAATACCCATAGGCACTTGCAGTTTTTGATTACTTGAATATAAATTAGACGGTCCAGCACCTCCGGCGGCGATGGTTGGATTGATCTTAGCCGTCGCGCCAATCAACTGATCCAGTTTCTCAAAGAAAGGCCACTTGCTCGGACCTTGACCCGAAGCGATCTTAGACTTCTCCAGCTTGTATTTCTTCTTCACAGTATCAATTCGATTTTTGCACTGAATATTAGTTTTAGGTGTTTTTCTATAATCTTCACGACTACCAACAATGTCGGCTACATCTTTCCAGTGCTTTTGTTTCAAATTACCTCTGCTCAACTCCAAGTATCGCTCACCCCAAGCGTCGATCAGTACACCCGTAGCACCTTCACTCCAGCAATCCTCCCTTCCACCACCGCCACCTCCACCGCTTCCGCCGGACGTTCTAAGAGGTTGCGGTTGCTGTATCGGTAGAGCTAAAGTCAAGGTGTTCTGAGGAGGCGGCGCTGATGCTACCGTCACCGTTATCCTGCCGTTAGATCGCGGCGATTCTGGAGATCGAGATCCAGAGCCACCGGACTGATGAGAGTGAGTTTCTTCATCGTGCTCCATAAATTCCGGTGCGCCGATCTGAGAGATTGTAACGAGGAATGTAGAGAGAGAAAGAGAGAGGAAGTTTTGGGGTAGGTGCGATTAGGGTTTCAGTTGACCGGCCGAATTTAATGATTGTTTTTTGGTTAGTATAAACTGAATTTGATAAAAGCAAAGTTTTAAAAGTTATTTTGGACAT